TGACCGAATTATTAGCGGAGTACCATGCTTCTAGGAACTCTCTTCCTTTCTGTGTTGTTGTTTGAGCTAAAATCACTGTTTGGTCCCAATGGAAGCTATGTCCCTCTTCATCCACATGCGCTGAGACAAGAGAAGATGCATAATGTTTTTTACAAGCCCTCTGATGTTCTTGTATGCTTGTGGACAATTTCCTTCCTATCTGCCCCACATAGTTCATTTCACAATTATTGCAATTTATTTTATGCACTATGTTTGTTCCTTCTTGTGCATTCCTAATGTCCTTTAGGTTTGACAGTATTCTTCTCAAAGTAGCGGTTGGCTTATGAGCGACCACGATGCTGTATTGTTTGAGCAATCTGGCAGTCATTTCAGATATGTTCTTTATATACGGCAAAACGACCCTCTTGCTTGCATTTGGTATCGGCTCGGTGTTCATAAGTTTATGGTTTAGACATCTGCGGATGAAGCTGCGTGTGTATCCATTGCACACGAACGAATCGAATAGGTGTTTCTCTTCTTCCCGTTTGGCTTTCACTGTACTGCAGTGTGTTTCAATCCTGCGATGTAGTGTCCGCACGCAACTTATTTTGTGGCACTTTGGGTGGTTGCTATAGAAGTTCAAAATTTGATCCGTATGTGTCCCTTTCCTGTGAACGGATGTTTGAAATTCACCATCGTTTGTTCTGGTCACAATTCAATAAGCAGCGTTATGCACTGCCTATTACCGCACTGAAGATGCCACCTCGCATGGTGGTGAAACGTATGCGATCTCTTTACCAAGCTCGGAAAAACCATCAACAGGTGAGCAACCAAGCCGAGCTACCAGTGTTCCAAATCGCTTCTTACCATTGACAACTGTCAATCTCTAACTCCTCACGGTCGATACTTGCGAGACATTACTATTCGCAGATGACCGTATCGGGGATGGGATGCCTATACCCCGTGGCCGAAGATGAGGTTACGTACCGTTTAGCGAAAGCTTGAGGTGCTTTTGCCAATCTCCGCCACCTGTGGCACAGACGCGACATTACTCTCGCCCTGAAGGGCAGAGTTTATAACGCAACCGTCCGTTCAGCTCTCCTATATGGTTGTGAAATCTGGGCCATCAGGTCGACAGACATAAAGAGGCTCGTCACATTCGATCATCGCCGCCTTCGCAGCTTGGCTGATGTCTGGTAGGAGTATCGCGTGAGCAATGAGCGTGTTCGGCATCGCGTACTTGATGCAGGAAGAGCGAGTGAACCGTTCAGCACTATTATTATATCACGCACCAGGCTGCGATGGTTGGGCCTCGTGTTGCGCATGCCAGCACACGGACTCCCGCGACGTGCATTGTTTGCACGTTGTGGGTGCGGTTGGAAGAGGAGGAGGGGAGGCCAAGCGATGACTTGATCGAGAGAGATGAAAACCCTCACTTTGAAGTTGGCGTCGGTTGGTGCATCCCGACTGCCTGGCTGGGGTGCTAAGGACGGTGAACACGTTTGGTTGGACACACTTGCTGATATGGCTAGGAGCCGGCCCCAATGGCGTTTGTGTTGTGAGTTATTTTGTCCATCCCCCTCCTGCTTAGTATCCCCCTCCAATCACGATCTCACTCGTTAGGCATAATATGACTCTCTTTTTACGGCACGATAGCCAGCTGTTAGCTCTCCGGAATGATGTCCATCCGTTACTGGGGACTCAGTGGGCGTGCCACCGTTTGTTTTCCTTTTCGTGTCTTTTGTATTGCGACACAATAGCTCAGGTGTTTTCCACCTGCAGCTAACGTGTATAATGAATGAATGAATGAACTAATTCAAAACACCTTATGCCCCCCCATATAAGATCGAATTTTTTCGCTTAAACTACCCACTTTGACGGCATATCACATACTTCGTGTATTTTCAGACTTGTTACCTCTACAAATGTTGTCTCCGGTCAGTGTACCTCAATGAACGAATCTCGGTGGTTTTTAGATGCAGCAGCTAACAAAAACATGAAAAGTTCGGTCAAACGGCATGGGTAAGGAAATGCTAGCTAGGTTTCCACCTATATTTTAAAACTTAAAGAAATTCGCTGGCTTCTCATGCAGCCTGACATTCTGGACGGTCTACGTGCCACCACCACTACAACCCTCACAACGTATGGTAGCTGATGCAGTTCAAGGATACACCTTTTGTGTTGCTCACTGGACTAACTACATGTGAGCCAAAAGCTCGAAGCGTTTCAATAAAGTTTATTCTCGAAAACTTCCAGGCACACCGCCGCATGCATGATCATGTTTTGTCCGTTCGGAATCAGACAATTAGAAATCCGTAAGAATATTTGTAGCTCGGGATGCGGATGAGGGTATGCGGATGTTCTCCGAGCTGTCTGATTTGGCTGCAAACGTTTCATCGTCAGGCTAGACGACATCATCAGTGCGATTTATGCGGGCCACTTACAGATCCAAGTGGTTATTGATCACTTGATTCGAACGTCAGGAGTCCATTGGTCCACATGAGCTGACCGTGTAGTCAGCTCTTGCGCACTATTTGCTAGAGTCCGCCTCAATGACATTCTTTTGTCCTTTTGATCTGGGGCGGAGTATTGTTTTTACCCTCAGTGCTTCATAGTCAGTATCAAGATCTAAGTCGGTTGATTGAATTTTTTCCCTAGTACCAAGCCTCGATGAACTCGCGTGCTTTTCGAGCTTTTGTACTGCCTATGATCCTGACATTCTCCAAACCAAACTGGTGATTCTCGACGTCCATATGTACCGACATCATGGAGTTCTGATCATGTCGGCGGATGGCTAGGCTATGCTCATGTAGCCTAGTGCCGAGCTTTCTTCCTGTCTGGCCCACATAGTATTTGTTACAATTTTAGCAGTGGATTTTGTAAATCACACCACTTGTTTTTTCTTTGCCAAGCCGGTCCTTACTATTGAAGAGCTTGTCTCGAATGGTTTCTGTCGGCTTGTGAGCAACTTTGATTCCGAAAGGTAGTAGCAGTCTCGCCGCCATCTCAGAGACGCCGTTTATGTATAGTAGAATGATTGTCCTTTTATCCGTCTCTGATGTATGTTCATGCGTCGGTCGTTTTATTGAACTTAAACAACGTAGAATGAAATTCCTAGGATACCCATTCCGTGTAAACATTTCGAATAGATGATCTTCCTCAGCTGCGGGGTGCTGCAGTGTGTCTGCGCTTTTTTAAATAAAGTTGTTACGCAGCTGCGCTTGTAGACTGTTGGATGATTGCTGCGATAATTCAGGATTTGGTCTGTAAGCGTCGCTTTCCGATAAACTGTTGTCTCCAGTTGTCCAGCAGCATGTCTTTTTACTAACACATCCAAGAATGGTAGCTGACCATTGTTCTCCTCTTCTTTAGTGAAACGGATACCAGCAAACGTGTTGTTTATTAACTGATGTGTTTCTTCCATTTTCGAGCGCTTTAGGATGACAAAAGTATCGTCTACGTAGCGTAGCCGTAGTTTAGGTTTTGCGACCGGGATTGCGGTTTCCTCCAATGCTTGCATCAACGCTTCGGCGACTAGTCCAGATATCGGTGAACCCATTGGCGTGCCTGTTATTTGTTCGTAGGTTTGGCCGTTGAAACCGAAGTGTGTCGTGAGGCATGAATCCAACAACTCCATCATGTGGATGGCATCAATTTTATTGTTCGTGTCTGGGGATCCGCGTTGGTCTAATAGTGTTGCCATCGTTTGCTTCGCCAGCTTTGTGTTGATTGAAGTGTACAAGGCTGTCGCGTCAAAGGGAACCATGATTTCGTCCTCTTCTATTACTGTTTCCCTGAACTTAGCTAGGAATTGTTCTGCAGATTGTATGGAATGTTCCGAGTCAGAGATCAGACGATACCTGCCTCGAGCACATGATGTCAGGCTTGTTGTTGTGATGATAATCGTATCTGGATAAATTATCTCTGGTGGGCAGTCTACATTTACTGAAGACAGTCAGCAACTGCATCGAACGTTCATTAATGAACTTATTGTTTTAATATATTGGAATAGGCTTGGAACGAACTGGGATTTCACAATTCCCAAAGGTTTTAGAATACAATTCGGTTTTCTATGGGTGTGTGGATTGTAATGATGTTTCGCACTTGACACAATAGCTTCTTCAGGCCTGGTGAACTAGTATAGACTTGGCATGGAATTTTTATAGCGAATTGCTATGCTAATAGCGCGAGATAACTCGGGTCAGTGGATAAATGTGGTTACAGTTTCAAAGGGTCATAGGGTTATTATGAAGGTACAATGAGCATGGAACTTCCCAGATTGATTCGTGTAATGGGTCATTCACATATGAGAGACTGTTGTTGTTGCTCTTGGCTCTAGTGATCGTAGTTCGACACTTCCACTCCAACCTGAGTCCGTCTGCCTAAGTTGCTCAGGCTGGCCGGGTTAAGACAGTCCGTCACGCGTTCGCTAGTTTCATCCCGTCTATTCGGTTCACGTAGTTAGTGGCCTTGGCGATTTCCGCCGCGCCTCAGCAAATAAACTTTGGTTTGTTGTTCTCACTCCTCTCCTAATGACCTCTACATTTTCCCAATTGATTGTGTATCCCTAGTCTAACGTACTTACCGCCGCATATTTTAATAAGTCGTTGTATTCAGGCTCGTTTCTTGGTGAACACCAAACCTACCTCTTGTGTTCTACACTCTTATTGCGCAGTTCTCTCGCTGTTTTGCTTGTGTACACTTGCGCACAGTCTTCGCAAACAATTTTAGGGACGCAGTTGCTCGTCTTATCTTTCGGGAATGGATCCTCCCGGGATCCCTACGGTTTGGTTTATGTAGCGTGCTGATTGGTTGCTCTTCATCCGCACCTTCATGTTCCATTGGTCGCTGCATGTTTTCGAAGCAAACTCTTTTACCCGGAGAGACGTATCGTTATCTTGGTAACACGGTGTACCAACTACTGGAAACTGTTAACAATAACTTCCTCTGCACTGTTCGGTTTACTGACATTGTTCGCCCTGCAAAGTACACCACATTCTCTCATCTCTTCATGCTTTTAGTTGCAATAAACTTACGCGGCTGCCCGATGGACTGTCTCGTCTGCACCAACTGATTGCTTTGGACGTATCCAACAATCAACTGGAAGCGCTATTACCAGAACTTGCACGTTTGACAAATCTGGAAGTATTGGTAAGCCAAATATTGTCATGGCTAACGGATTATCTTGATGTCCACTGTTGGCCATTCTTTCTTTGTGCTTGTCCTACATTCGCAGCATTCCCCACTGCACTCCATTTCTTTTGGATATGTCCTTCTCTTGGTCCTGACAACCTTTTTTGTTGATGCACCTTGTGACAGGATGCGTCTGGAAACCGTCTCATTTCACTGGACCAGCTTCCACCAAATTTGCACACACTCGATCTCAGCAAGAATCGCATTGAGCGACTCCCAGAAAATCTGGTCGGATGCTTGCCCCGTGAGTTAAACAACTAGCACACTGCGTAGTCTTTTTGAGATTTACTCACCCCATCGCCTAACTTGCTTCTCCGAGCAACTTGCAAGCCACCTTTGCGCCATTCTGCAAAATACCATCAACACCTGCCATTTTTGCTTTCTGAAGTGCGTTTACTGCGTCCACCCTCTTATCCGAAGTGGTTCTCCAGCATTTTAGCCAACTGTCATGCAAATCACGTATTCGCACACTTCCAAATCATTTTGTTTTCGTGTGAGCAGTCAGGCATTTCCGGTCGCTTTCTGTATGTCTCTAGTTGCTGGGATTTTCCTCTGGTGCTCGCGACACGAATCTCGCACAAAACTGACTGACGGGTTAGATAACCCCTGCGGTTTCGTCTTCTTATCGTAGTATTTCTAATTCTCAGTCATCTATTTCCCCTGTCAGGCCCTTTCCCCGCGGCTTCTCTGAGGCCGGGCACCAGGATTGTCTAGCTTATCTAAGCAGAAAAAAATGGGGAGGTGTCGAGTAGGCCTCAAAGAGTTGAACGTAAAGCTTGTACCGCGGTCAAAACCTATCATACAAAGATTAGAGGCTATTTCATATTGCATACCAATTTGAATCCATACATCGTAACGACGGTTCGGTGCCACCACCACCAGTCGCATACTGGTGGAGGGGTGGGGAGGTCGTCGCGCCTGTGCAGTTTCGAGCCGGTGACTTTATCCATTGGACCAATGACCCGACCTGGAACGCGACATCATTATAGTTTCATTCCACTGATTTGACATTGCATCAGAATTCATGAATAAACTAACTCAACCCACAGTGAGCTGTCAACATCACGCACTGTATTGATGAAAACAGGTGTGTATGTTTCGACTGCGCACTGGGATACACTTTTCCTCGCTATTGACCTACAAGCCACGGCTGACGAGCCATGTATCCGCATTGATCGCCCTGTCGACCCGTTGGTCCCTATGAAAATCTGCCGTTTTCAGCACTAAAGGCACGGAAACCATACCACACAAATTAGCTGTTAAAATTAACAACTGCCTACAAGTTGTGACAAATCTACCGTCTTCTCCTTCCTACTGCGGCAGCAGAAAATGGTTACAAATATGGAGGGGATTCCTCAGGCCAAACGGCTGGCTTGCCGGACTACCTCCTCGTGGTGCCAGCTGGATGGTTCGGGTGTACCCAGTTCCAGCAGTGTTCGGCGACAATGTTCTACCTCGGTGGGACATTGTATTCCAGCAGATGTGCTGACTTGGTGGGGAGTATTGGGCCCCTGTTTGGTAATCTACCAAACAAAGACGCATGAACTGAACATTCAGTCAACGCCTCCCAATGGGCGCGATTCCCTAAATTCGCCCCGCTGCCTTGCGGGTAGGTTATTTAGCCAAAGGCTCGGGGTGAAGTCCCCTAAGTCAACTCCCTACCTCGGCTTGGGCAACCGGATAGTATCACGCCCTCTCACAAAACCATGGACTGTACTACAACGCGCTCATCAGGTACTGTTCCTGCTACTCACTTTCACACTACTTCATCACACGCCAATTGTTTGTTTGCTAACAATCCTCACTTTCCGTTACCCGATTCATCTGTTCAACAATCTGGCTGCGATTCCGATTGCTCCGCAGATCAAGGAGTTCAACCTATGGCTCTCCTTCGTCCCCGATCCTTGTTCCGTCTGACGTGCTTCAACGTCCGGACACTCATGCAGAATGGACAGCAAGCCGGTCTAGCGCGCACCCTAGATTCCCTTGACATTGATGTCTGCTGCCTTTCAGAAACCCGATTGCAAAATCCCAACACTGTGCTTAAATTGACATCCCCCACTGACCACGAAGCCAGATATCACCTGCGTCTTTCTGGAGATCCAGAAGCAGTCTCAGCGGGTTTAGCTGGTGTAGGTATAGCACTGAGTGGCAAGGCCGAGGCGGCACTACTGGACTGGTTCCCGATTAACAGCCGACTATGTGCAGTTCGGCTTCGGGGTTCATGTAGAATCAACCGGCACCGCGAAGAGAGACACAACTTGTTTGTGATCTCCGTGTACGCCCCAACTGACTGCAGTAGCGACTCTGTCAAGGACGAATTCTACCGAGATCTACTTCGGCTCTTGACTAATGCTAAAAAGTCGGATGTCGTTATCCTTGCTGGGGATTTTAATGCACAGGTTGGCCGCCTGTTACCATACGAACGCCACCTTGGTGGTCATCACGCGCTCGATGAGAACCGCTCTGATAACGGAGAGAGACTTCTCACATTGTGCGAGGACAACCGTCTGTTTCTTTCGAGCACTAGCTTCAGGCGTACGAAGAAGCGTTCCGCAACGTGGCGTCCCTCTTCGCCAACACAACCGTGGTCCCAGATTAATCACATTGCAATTAGCTTCAGATGGCGCGGCAGCGTACTGGACTGCAGGTCCTTTTGGTCCACTTTCGTTGATTCAGATCATGCTCTGGTCTGCGCGAAAATCTGTATGTGTTTTGGGGGATCCCGAAACACGAAGCTCTGTAAGATTGATGTGAACAGAGTAACTGATTCCTCTGTCCAGACGAGCTATCAGTTTTCATTGGCAAATGCACTCAGTTGCAATCCACCGTCAGAAGTGGAACAACACTGGACTTGTATACAAAAAGCGATGGCCATTTCCGGACAGTCATGCTGCGGTCTAACTCGACGCCCTTCGAAATCTTGGATCTCTGCTCGCTCTCTGGAGCTGTTCGAACGCCGCAATGATATTCCCGCGGAATCAGATTGCAACGAGCGGCGCAGTTCTGCCAACCGGCTGCTCAAGCAAAGCCTACGCAAGGATCGCGAGACATGGTGGTCTGAGCGTGCTTTAGAGATGGAGACCTCTGCCCTCTCTGGCAACACTCGCAAGCTTTTCCAACTCATTCGGTCCACTGGCTTCAGGAAGCCTGGTGTCAGTGAGGTCATTTGTGAGGTGGATGAGTCTCCAATCACCAACCAACAGAGGCGTATGGACCGCTGGGCCGAGCGCTTTCACTCGCAGTTCAACTGGCCTTCACCATCCATCAGTACATGCAATACACCTTGTTGTCCACCCTGGCTCGTTTCATTGAATCCACGCAACGAAGCAGAAGTCTGCCTCGAGATTCGACGCTTGAAGCGCTTCAAGGCTGCCGGCTTAGACGGACTACCTCCGGAGCTATTCAAGTACGGCGGGGTGGCGATCACTAACCAGCTAACCGCGCTGTTCACAAAAATGTGGCATGAAGAGAAAGTGCTTTCCTCTTCGGGTGAATCAGTTATTGTCCCAATTTTCAAGAAAGGCGCTCACACTTCATGTGTAAATCATCGCGGGATCAGTCTTATCTCGGTTGCTTCTAAGCTATTGGCATCCATTCTGCTTCGTAGACTGTCCCCAGTACGTGAATCATACTACCGTGAAGAACAAGCTGGTTTCCGTCCTGGCCGCGGATGCGTGGATCAAATCTTCACGCTCCGTCAACTCCTTGAACATCGCCACATTTATCACAGGCCCACTATCCTTGCATTTCTAGACATACGTGCCGCTTTTGACTCCGTTCATCGACCTGCTTTATGGCGTTGCTTGCTAAAGAAGGGGGTGCCAGAGAAATATACCGCCATCTTACAAGCACTTTACCTTCATACATCCGGCAGAGTGAGGGTCTATGGCAAGCTTTCCTCGCAATTCGCTGTCAATAGCGGTGTGCGACAGGGCTGCCCTATGTCTCCATTCCTCTTCAACTTCGCAATCGAAGACGTTCTGTCGAATGCCCTATAAGGTTCCCAACATTTTGGCCTAGAGCTTCTACCAGGTGAGCGCGCGACCGACTTAGATTATGTTGATGATATCGCCTTACTTGGTGACGATCCTCAGGTTATGCAACTCATTCTGGATCGTTTGGTGATTGAAGCCTCTAAGTATGGCATGAGATTAGACCCATCGAAGTGTCAAGTACTGCTCAAGGATTGGCCTTCACCTACTCCCGTGCTCACACTCGAAGGTGCACAACTTGAACAGGTAAATAGTTTCGTCTACCTCGGGAGCTGTGTTTCTGCTGACGGCACTATCAACAAAGAAGTTTCGCTTCGTATCGCTAAAGCTCGATCAGCATTTGTCAATCTGAGGCACTTGTGGCGTCGTCGCGACGTCTCATTCTCACTAAAGGGCCGCATTTACAGTGCATCAGTTCGCTCGGTATTGTTGTATGGGTGCGAGTCCTGGCCGATTCGCGTAGAAGACATGCGTCGTCTTTCTGCCTTCAGTGCCGGTTGCTTAAGGAGGATCGCTCGTGTTTGGTGGCAACATCGAGTTAATAGTAATGACGTTCGACGTCGCATCTTTGGGAGTGCGAGTATTCCCTTCAGCAAACTGGTTTTGTTGCGCCAGTTGAGATGGCTCGGTCACGTCCTACGCATGGTACCTGAGCGTCTACCGCGTCGCGCTCTATTCGCTCGTCAAGGACCTGGCTGGAGGCGACCGCGTGGTGGTCAGCCTTCCACTTGGCGGCAGCACATGAAATCGCTGACGTCGTGTCTAGCCGCTGTTGGATCCGTACGTCTTCCAGTATGGGGACCCAAAGATGAGGAGTGCCAATTGCTTAGCACTCTTGAAGATATGGCCCGCAACCGGAATCAGTGGAAGAATTGTGTACAGTATTGTATTGATTCACATGTTTAATACTACCAATATTGAAAATGACAAAAAAAGAAAAAATCGGCGTGACAAACAAACTAAAAATGTTTTGTTCTATTTTTGTCAAACTGTTCCATTCTTCTTGCGGCATATTAGCTGAAGTGTGTTTGCCCACCTTCAGCTACCATGCCACGATGATTACGACGCGATGACTGTTCCTTATCCACTAATCTCCATGGCTTTGTTGGCTCTATGTCTAGTTGCTAGACTGTTGAGATTACATACATACATACATACATCAGGCCAAACAGATTGCCAATGAATATCGGGTGTTTCATGGTCAGAACAAGACGCGAGATCTAATCGGATTTATGGGATGCATGGACACTAAACCGAATAAACACGCTGTTTTCATTTTATCCGTAGATCTTTAAAAAGACAAGTGGTCCTGTTTGTACGAGTGAGTCTCGTTAAACAAGAATATTGAACCTTCTTTCACATATCTGTTGCGTCTCACAGACGCTCCACAAGACGTGGTCTCTTTACGACATACACGAGCTCACTTTATCGAGAAATAGTTCACAATCTGTGCCCCGTAGTACGATGCGTGTACTTATTGCGGATTTGTCGGACTACATTATTTTGCCGTTGAACAGCCTTGAAGTACAAAGTGCAAGGTCACCAGTGAAACCGGTGATAGTTTACTAAATCAACCATCTTGACATCTGCGTTGTCGGCGATGATCGCTGAAATTGGTTCCCAGATTGTGACACCGGCACTGTATGAGCAATTCTTTGAGTTACAGATGATGTGTTTACATGACCTCAGTCATGGTCTGTCTTCTCTGCGGCTGCGAAACGTTCTCTCTTCGGTTTGTACAACACAGGGGTCATCATATATTTGATCATTGTTTCCTAGGGAGCATCGATCGGCGGGTAACCGAAAAGATTGCACGCCTGTCTTGTACTCCTTAGGTCGCCGGTTCGAATCCGAGTATATGCGACCGACCTCGTGCTATGCTCAGCCCTGATTGATGGTGATCGCGTGGCAGCAGTGCGTCAGTAGGGTGTGCTGGCGTACTGCTGATGCCTCCCTGTTAGTCTTCTAACTTGGTGCCAGCTTGTCTGCAATGATATGATCCACCGGACGTTTGTGGCTATTGTCACCATTCGGTCGACTGTGTAGCTTACCTTCCTTTGCTTACTACATGTGGCAAACCGCTGATTGTCGAGGATGGGGTTGTTTTCCTTGTCTACTCGATGCTGGTGCAGAGTTCGTAAGAGCAATCGCTGCTAAGCTAACAGAATGGGGGCGCCCTTGCTCCTTCTAACCTGGATTCCGCATGACCCATCTTGTGTTTGTCCCGTGACACGTTACAGATCTCTGCTCGCAACTGGCACCGGTAACTATTTTGCTGTCGTCTCTCAGCAGGCCTATATGTTTAAAGTGTGCATAATACTGAGCTACCTGTGGGATAGGGCTTGTATGGCCTTAAAGATCACAAGACTGCCTTGTAATCCAAAGGCGCGGGTTCAAGCCTGTTTAGGGAACCGGGCGACCATCGCTGGATCCTGGGCCCGCGTGCGACTGACGGTGTTTCCGCGGCACCAAAGCGTTGGTACTGCAAACCAACTTATCGCTGTGTGTCACAACTCGGCGAGAGCCGCAAGGAATCTACCTAATTTTCACTCAGTTGTTTGTGGCCACTGCTTGCGTCATGTCATCTCTTATGTTTCTTCATTTGTGGATGAATCTCTCGCCTTTTACTAAAGATTTCCGTGGGGAGGCACAACACAATGAGTCTTGACTCGTTTTTGCAACCTCGCCTCTGGGCGAGGCAAAATTACACGTAGATTGCCCCGGTGGTTTGCGCGGTGACCTGTGGGTCACAGCTCTGGGGTTCCAATCCCGGGCGCAACGTATTGCTTCAGCAGGACCTCGACCGCCTCTCCATATGGTCTGCAGTGGTCAACCTTCCAATCAACCCGGTCAAGTTGAAATTCATGAGGCTGGGTAAGTGTGAGCACAGTCGAACATACACAGTGGCTGGTCAACCGTTGCATCCCGCACCTTTAGTGCGCGGCCTCGGTGTACTCTCACGCTGCGACCTAAAGTCCATGGACAATACGAATAGGATTTACCAAAACAGCCTTCGTATGCTTTGGGCGCTCAGGCGCAGCTTCAGTACTTGGTCCGAAGAGATTGCCACTCGCCTCTTCGTCTCAATAATGCGACCAGTGCTAGAGTATGGCTCTCCCGCGTATTGTCCTATCACCCGGGGCGAGGTAGAAAAGATTGAGCGAGTGCAGCAGGTAGCCACTAGGCTGATTCCCAACTTACGAGGTGTGCCGTACGAAGACCGGTGTAAGAAACTAGGGCTGTACACCCTAGCTTATGGTCGAACGAGGGTTGAGCTCATCATGACTCACCGGATATTACATCTGGGTGATTACCCTATGTTGAGACCACTGCTTCATCTGCGCAAACCAAGCAGCACACTACGAGGACACCGGTATAAGCTTGTCGTACCGGATTTGAAGCGGATCGCTCACCAACTTTGTTACGAGCGAAGAGTGGTGAATGTATGGAACGACCTACCACAGCACGTAGTTGAGGCAAAGTCGGTGTCGGAATTGAAGGAATTCCTGAACAAACACATTGCTGACGCAAAATATATCGAGCGGAACACAATCTAACGGGTATTTGTCCATGAGTGAAGATTGATGCAGTCACACAGAGCAAGCTCTACTCGCTGTTTCTAACCAGTATTTAGTATTTGCATGGCTTAAACATAGTCGTAGCACAATGACGTATCAGCACCAAATACTGCTGCCCTACTGTTGCTGCTCCCGTTTACTTTGAACTCTGATAAAACTGAGGAGAAGAAGAAACTTGTGGCCCACGCCATCCACTCTGACTATGTTTAACAATGGCACCTAACCCTCATCCGTGTTGATATTGTTTCCACTATATGTAATTCGTTGCTCAACCCGTTCCCTGTGCCGTTGGCATGTTCGGTGCAATGTTCATAAAGGTGTTTCCTAAAAGCCGGTACATTGGTTGTAGGCTAAAATCCTGTGCCATCGCACCACATGCCTCTTCGATGTAGTTTAATGAATCAGGCGTTTGATCTGCAATCAACGCGCTCCGGGAGTTCGATTATCATGTCCAGCAGGCACTTAGTCGCCTTACTTTCAACCGCTCGCGACTGCTTTGTAGCGGGACAATTCCAGCGATTTGTGGCTTGTTGCTGATGCCCTTTTTCTTGTTTTATTACGTTTACTTCTTGTGGGAACTGCAGACGAATGTTTATGTTGCATCTGAGATCGTCAACACATCCAAACCACTTGATCCATTGGTTTTCACGCACCTATTTCCCACTTATGATTGTCTAATCACCTTGGCTGGCTAGCCGAACAACCTCCACGTGGTGCCAACTGAGCGGTTCGGATTAATCCTGTTCCAGCGAATGCTTCGGTGGCAGTGTTCCAGGACGTGATTGGTTTTCTCCTGGCAAGCGTTCTCCCTATAAAAAGCCACAAATATCTGTTTAATCACATTGTGACGTGGCGGATGACTCGTCACTAAATAAACTCAGCCATTTCGAAGATATTATTTGATCCCTTCCTATGTTGGCGAATTCACCGAACACAACCATAACTTCAGCACAACAGCAACACATTCACTCGAAATGATTGCTCATCCAAGCATTTACATATACAACGTACAGCATAATTCCAGTATGTACTGGATTCATTGTAACATTCGTGTTCAATTATTGATCATACGCGTTTGTATGACCATGATCAAACCGTTTTAGCCATGTCCCGCACTGTAGGTAATAAAGCATTTATTATTTATATTTGCGACGGTCTAAGAGCAGCTATGGCACTATCAAAAACCCTGGAAATCAAAAAGGGTACATTTGTCGTAAGAAGAAAACCGAACACAACACAGAGAAGTCATTGGTTTCATCAGTAGGCACAATACTACTACCCGGTTGCTAAAGCCGAAGATCCTATAAACAGCCACATATGTCCGTCTAACAACACTGCGACGTGGTGGATGTGACGCCATCAAATAAAGTCACTGTCCCTTTCTTCACTTCGCTGGGGCATTGTATTCCAGTAACGTGATGCTGAAACTGTGGGATGCATTGGGTTTCTGTTTAGCAACCGACTATGAACCGAGCAATCAGTCACCGGCTCCCAATGGGCATGATTTCCTTAAGTCGCAGGCTATTCAGCCAAAGGCTCGAGCTGGTGTCCCCTTGGTCAAAACGCTCCCTTTGGCTTGGGCAACCGGGCAGTATGGCGCTGTCTGACAAAACCATGGACTTTCTGCATTGTGTTTGGTTTTCTTCTTGCGACACCGGTACCTTCCTTTGATTTCCATGGTTGTTGATGGCTCCATGTCTATTCGTAGATTGTTGCAAATATACATCCTCTGTGGGCGTGATATCTGTTGCCGTTGTTTTGAACGTTGCGTGTGCGACTCCGCAGTTTGGTCTATGTACAGGTGTGCATAGTTTTCACAGGTGATCAGTGCTAACAGAATTCATGTAAGCTCAGCATTGTTCCCTACGGATGTTTTTGTCCTACTAGTTAGGAGTTGCAAGCGGCCAACCACATGTCTTGTGAGTCCGTTCGTCGGAAAGCTTATGCCATCCACTACTGTACAAACAAAGCGTGTCCCGCACTGTCGGGAATAAAACACTTATTTATTTATTTAGATCTATGTTAGTGAAGAAAACCTTCCATCATGTAAACACCCGTCTCATTTTTTGATCAGGCGGTCTCCAATCTTGTTGCTCTCTTCGTCACACGTTTATTGTAGACTTACGTTCGTTGGATGTTTCTTCCAATCAGTTGACAAATCTGGTGTTGGATACTCGTGATCCCTCGGCCCGTGCAACCTCCAAAGTGGCATCCATTCACGCCTCTCTCAACCGACTGACATGCGTCCCAGACGTTGCTGGACTGACATCTTTAAAAGCAAGTCCCTTACTTCATCCTATGGTGATCCTTGATGTTAAGGTTTTCGTATCTGTTATCTATCGCTTCATCGATGTTGTGCACCTGCGGCCCTTGGGCAAACGCACAAACATCTGATGTACGACGCTAACAGTTTACTGCATGATGAATGTCCAGACCTGAATCGTTCACCCCTTTTGCTCACTGTATCAGCAGTACGCCGGTACGGGCAGTACAGACGCTTCGCTGCCGCGCAGCTATCAACAGTCGCATGTGGGCAGAGAATACTGCGAGCATCACCAGGTCTTCCTACATAGGCTCGAACCCCCCACGCCAGGTTTGTGTTCCTTTAGGCCACGGGCCGACTCTTGTTCACTGCTTCTGATATTTTCTAACAGTACTTGCTGGTAGAAATACGTGACCAACCAACTATTGGTACTCCTTACTATGCAACAGCTCTGATCTCTTTTGTTGGTTGTACCAATTATGAGCTATCCTTTAGATTGGCAGACATTGGTTTATTGACTCGAACTCTAGGAGAAAGTGAGCCTTCGCAGCAGTTCAAGTTTGTTCCAAGATTGCAATCGCCGTGCCTTCCGATTATCAGTCTCTTCTTTAAATTGACCCAGTTATCTACGATTTTTTTCTCTCGAAAAGTTTATTTATTCGAACTACCTGCTCGTTCATCGAAACTTACTTTTGCTCCGCAACGCTGGTTTGATTTTGCAAATGACTACAATCGGTGTATATCCAACGTCGTGAGACACGGTACAGCAAAACTGGTCCGATCATGAGGTACAGAAGACGTTTAAATTGAAATTGCAAAACTGTTGTACACGACCAAATGTTATTTGCTTTTCCCATTGAATCTTTATCCCTGGATTGGTCTGTATGTTGAAAACATTATAGTGTTGCTCGTCCCAACACTGGCACCCCAAGACCGTGGTTTCGTCCTGGTTGGGACTCATCGGTTGGAGATAGCCTGAGTTTGGCTGGAACTCAGAGCCTAGTGGCTCATGGTTGACGCCATAAGCACTATGTTTCCATTTTACTTACGGTCTTTATGATCGGAATGACCGAGGTCCACCTCAAGTGAACCGAGGTCTCAATGGACGTTGCTTGTAGCAAGCCAACCACCAGCGTATTCTCCAAGTCCAACTTTGCATTCGTTTCCGCTGGACCAAGCGTTGCTTGCGGATCTCAGTGACAGTGCTTATGGCGTCAACCATGAGCCACTAGGCTTTGAGTTCCAGCCCAACTCAGGCTATCTCCAACTGATGAGTCCCAACCAGGACGAAACCGCGGTCTTGGGGTACCAGCGTTGGTATAAGCAATACTATAATGTTTCTATTTTGCTTATCGTCTTTATGATCGGAATGACCGAGGTCCACCTCAAGTGAACCGAGGTCTCAATAGAGGTTGCTTGTAGCAACCCAACCACCAGCGGATTCTCCAAGTCCAACTTTGGTCTGTAAGTTGTTTTTCCCGCGATCACCTCGAATACTCGATACCCAGAGAGCACCATCTGTTTTTCGCCCACGACCTCTCTTTCGATCTGCCGATAAAAATCACCTCACTTCATGCTTTAAACTTACAGGAACTCTGTGTGAGTGACAATCGCATCACCACCTTTGTGCTGGATCACTTCCAAGGATGCCCTTTGACTAATTTGAACTTGGCCCGTAATGCCATCGACCGCATTCCGCAGGGTATATCCGTTGTTTTGCCAAATCTGGCTCGATTGGACGTATCTGGCAATAATTTGAACAGGTTCGGCGATTCACCATGCCTTCGTGTTTTTTTCTAACATGCTGCGATTTGATTAGGCTCATTACCACAAACCAGCTGTTCTCTGTTTCCTAATAACTTTCATACCACTAGTCACTCTTTCTAGTGGCGTATCTGAACGCGTCAGCACTTTTTCCGTTGCCTCGCTGCCACAAAAGGTATTAGCAGTACGCCGGTACGCAGTAACGACGCTTCGCTGTCGCGTAACCACCAACGGTCGCGCGTGGGCTATGGATACTGCGAGGGTCGCCAGGTCCCCCACACAGGCTCGAACCCGCGCCCTCGGATTACAAGGCAGGTTTGTGGTGCTTTAGACTACGGACCGGTCCCGACTACCGTACGTTCATATTGCCTTTCATATTGAGTAATACTTTTTGGGAAGAAGGGAAACTTGATGGAAAACCGAAGTGCTCTGAGCTAACTTTTATGGTCAAGGCTTCGGTAAGAAACACTTGCAAACAGCTGCTTCTAATGCGAAGGTAGGGTGGCATCAGTGAAACAGCCTCCTTGCGGCTTACACAACGTCGTCATGTAATCAACCGCATCCCACCTATAGCTGCATCACAAACACGCTGACGGTGCCGTTGTGGGAGACGTTCTGTACGGTCTCGAGTCAGCCTGGGCGACGACACCAACCAACACCACTCATTGTGTCAGCAAGTGGTTTCATCCCCACTGACAGTTCTCCTCCCCCCCCCCGCTGCCGACGATTAAATAATCCGACATCGAGTGGACGAAGCAAATTTCTCCGTAAATCATGAGCATATACCCTGAGTACCATGGCTTGTCTAGCCATCTATCGAACTAAACAGTTTATCTCCGTCTGGTTTTCACCTTGGCACCTCAGAATTGTACTCCATGTTCAACGATCTTCGAAGACCTGAAGACGCTTTAGATTTTCCCATCGAAATTGCCCGTAGCCTTCCTTGTAATCCGATAGCGCAGGTTCGAGTCTCCGTAAGGACCGGACGACTCCTGCTGTATCGTTAGCCCACATGCGACTAGTGGTGGTGGCGTAGCAACAAAACGTCGGAACTGCATGCCGGCGTACTACTGATGACTTCTTTTTAAACCCCATTCCCTTGGAGGAACATAGTCACCAAACGATCCTGTGCATATGGTACCTAAAACCAACGGATATCCTATTCTGGTTCTTAAAGTGCCGCAAATTCATGGAATCGGTTCTAGCTCTCACAATAGATTAGCTAATTTCGACAGTCATACACCCGTCGCTACTACTGAAGCTACGGAGATCTGCGTAGGTGCTGTTCGCGGAATCCCTAACCCAACCCACGACTGATGGTGGTTGCACGGCAGCAAGCGTCGATACGGCGTCCATGTGTCTATTTAACTACCAAAATGAGGGAATTGGTTAACTACTTCCTGTCGCCGAACTTATTTTTTTAGAAACAGATGGCTGCTCCAAAAAACCCGAAAATCTACTTCTAACCGCTGTGTCAAACACCGTTCGCGGGACTCAATGGCCTAGTGACCATGGCGATAGCCGCCAAGCACGATGCCCCGAGTTCCACTCCTAGCTCAGCTATCTCTACCTGATGAGTCTAAACAAAGACGAAACCGTCGGTCGTGGAGTGCATGGATAGGAGAGAGCCACACCGAAACAGATGGCTTATTCAGCAGAGCAGTTTCATGGAAACTAGTCAGTAGAAAACCTTGATGTATATAACTAGCGACGTTGTTACATTCATGCGATTTTTCTGATCGGACAAACAGCGCAGCCGAATAATAACCAATCAGCATAGATGTGTGGACGTCCAATCATCTGCTCCGTTTGTTCACTGCAATCTAGCTGTTTTTTTCACGTGATCCTGTCTCGTCCCTCTGATTGCATGCTCCAAACGCACTCATGAGGCCATCGCGTGGCTGGTGGTCTTGCAGCAGCACTTTACACCTTGAAGGCACGAAACGCACTCCAAAGGCCGGAACAACTTCAACAAATTCGCTTATGCTTGACTGTTTCGTTTTGCAGTTACCGGGGAAGCAAACGATGTTGGGCGTTAATCCGCGTCAAATTATTTTTCACAGTAGGACTTAACTAATCGCATCTCGAGATCTCGCGAAGGAACACTCCTTGATGGAGTCCACGATGAAATTGAATACAAATTTGGGAATAAACGAACCATGTTGAAGTGTCTAATTTCGATGCAATGTTCATAGAAAACATTACTGAAACTTCACTTCTGATGCGATCCCAGCGACCGAACTAGTAGCGTGACCTTAAAATTGGGATTGTGCGTCGCGATCCAGGCACAAGACAGGTACTCCAAAGCCCAACAGTCAACCCTGATGAATATCACTTATCAAAAAGGTATATGTGGCTCACCATAGGCCCCGGTACCACTTAGGATGTTGAACCTTAGCGCGCATAGAGCGTTTACGTACTCTATTAGTTCAGTCTGTAAGATCCGAATTACTCCTTGTAGCTCTTTTAATCCTGTTTGTTTTGCTCATAGCCTCCCAACGGAGCTTGGTCTGCTGAACTCTCTTCAAGCGCTGATCCTGGAAGGCAATCCCTTGCGCTCTATTCGTCAAAGTATTATCTCTGTAAGTTCGTTTCATTATCTCTGAGTTACTCTTTGTTTGTTCTTATCATGGCTTGTGTTTCCATTGCCATTTCTCAGATCGTTTTGCTTCTAGAACACAAAACTCCAACTCATATCTCCCTGTATGGAGTCTCCACCGAAAATTCCCGTGGCAGCCTATCAACTTGGTTAAAGCAGTTTTCGTTCAAGCTCGACTCACCGCTGGCTTATCTATGCCTAGTTCTCAACCATGACTCTGTTACGAATGCATTGCACTCATTCTTTCCAACAGAAAGTGCCTAACTCCATTTTATTGTTGTTCGGCACCGGAACCCACGATCCCCCGAGACTTAGCCTCTCCTAGTTTCAAATGCTATAGATATAGCGTCTAGTGAGAGGACGTCATCACCTTGCAGGCTAACCACTGTCAGTGACAGTGGTAGATAGGTGGTGCTATATCCCAGCTAGTTTGCAAATTATGTAGCCCAGCCAACCTCTCCCATGGCTCAGTGGCTTAAGCTGCTGGCTAGTTGGCATCTGCCTCTAGCGGTCATGGGTTCGATCCTCCTTAGAGGACCGAGGGAATGCGCGCCACTAACGAGACCCAATAGGGCGAAACGCGTCTGGCGCTTTTCCGGACTAGGCTCTGCTATGTTGCTTGTGAACTGTTGGGATGAAAGCCTTATCAGAGTTACTTAGATATTAGTTACCACTAACCACGTGGTGGATGAGCCAACTGCCCATTCTCGCTCCACTGAGCGATCCATGCTCACTTAAGTGAGCTAAGTTGTCCTGCTCGGGTATTGCATCCAAGTAATTACGAAATGGAGCTTGAAAGTAGCTTGTCATCCTAGTCATAGGTATCCGAATGACATCTTTCATCATCAATCATCACCAGCTACCGTACAACCACGGTGACCTACAGAAAGAAGAATAATATGAAAAAAGATGGGAGTCTTAGTGGATACCCGAAGCAAACATTCTGGGTCAAGACGCCTACACTAAGTGTCATCAACATACCGTCAGAAACAGTTACCTATCGAGCAAAGATAAGGCGGTATCATCGAGACAACTTCCTTGTGGCTTTCACTGCGTTGCTTCATAATCAACCATTAAACCGCAGATAACTCAGCACCAAATACACTTCAAACAGGCAGTCCGACAAGGAGACGTCAGCAGATGCGCCATTGCTACCGACTGCGAACCACGTCCTGTGTAAAGTCTCGAGCGAACCACAAAGCGTGTTACGTGGGCTGCACTCTGGAAAACGAAACGTACCAACGGTACCAAGTTTGGTCGTCAGTGACTGAATTTCCCGCTACCAAGTCAACTTTTGTCCATCTCTAGCTTTGAGCCACCCTACATCTGGCAGAGAAAACTAAACCCTCCTTGGTTAGTGGTTACCGGACATACATGGTATGTGTCTAAAACAGTACAATTTACTCAGTGCTATCTGTTGTTCTAAGGAACTGGCTTGGTTATAACTTCCTAGCACTCGCCTACGCAAATCATCGTTGCGGTCACGCTGATGCCATCCGACATCAGCAATGCTTCGCAGACAACGATGATCAAAGACTTGAAGTCGCCTCAGATCTTCAGACCGAAGGGGTCAAGTCTCACTCCCATAGAGCGAAACGGCCCTCACTGTGGTCTTGTATACACTGCCTCTCAAACGGAGAGAAACCCCTTTCTGTCGCAACAGATTTCGCAACTTCAAGAAGGCAGTTCTAGCTTTTGCTATTCTTGAACTATTAATATTTATTTTTCACAATTTGTGTGCATAGCCCAAGCTCTGGACTTAGAGTATATTATGGGGACATTGTCCCTGAATAAAGAAATGGCTGGGCGAAATCGCACACCAAGTCGGCCAGTTTGGTTGTGTAGTGTGTAAACTGTAGGGAAGAGGTTCTGCGCATATACGTATCGTACACACTGTATCCCGCGAATAGTGGCGACACAGAACCGCAGTATCGAATCTTGACTAATCCACGGACTTGATATGTCTCATTGTAGTAGGACAAATAAACCTGCGGCCGTTCAAACTCACTGGATAGTGAATACTATTCAACCTTTCCGGAAAAGGTGGAAATCGCATCTGCTTGGGATCCGACAACATATTTTCAGTTTGTTAACTATACCCATTCAGATATTAGAACCATAACAGTTTGTTGATTCATTCTACGCGGTCGGCGTCAGAGATGGCAATGTCCATAACACATGTATTGGTCCCCTTACAAACGAGCAGGTCGGGTTTGATAAAGAAGTTCGAAGTGAGTATTATGTTTTCTGGTGTAATCTGATTATCCCGGTGTTTGATTGTAGTCAGGAGCTGTTTCGCGACGTCATTATAACTTCACAGCGAGCATTGTTTGTGACTGCACGTGACTAAAGAATGTGTGAGAGTTTCCCTCCGGATGCGAGATCTGCAATAGTGAAGGAGGTGATCTGTCCGTAACTCGGTGTGTCTTCGTTGAGAGAACCCCAGTCCGCAGCTGAATCCATCGTGTGAATAGCCGAGCAGAGCTCCTGATTGGTGATCTCAGAGTGCAGCCGTAACGTCCCGGAGCGCGGAATCACCGTAAGAAGATAAAACACCGTACAAAGCCATGTCTTCGACTGGCTTTCCCTGCACACAGACTGGAGCTGTGGCAATGTGATGGTGTTGCGATCCTGTGGCCACTAACGCAATTCGGAACGAACACGCACGGAAAACTGAACACTCACAATGAAATCACTGCACAGAATCACAAATGCAACCAATTCGGCACTAGTCTATAGCCCCAACCCCGGAAGGAAAGAGAACAAGACCTCAGACACGAGATCTATTAACACGCCAACACAGAAAGTAATGGAAACTCATGATTGGTTTAGGTCATTCAACGGTCTTGCCAAATCAGTCAATCACAGTGCTCGTTTGAAGCGAGAATAAATAGCGCGCACCGTTTAAAAATCGAAAATGGCTAACAATAAGTCTATGGTTTTGGCTGATTCTAATGGCCTTTTCTCAGCATCTCAAGGATCTTGCTGGACAGTGCTTCCGATCGGTCCAGCTTCTGAGTTGCAAGGGGGCCCTTTCGCGTGTTACATTTGGTACCTCTGTCGATGGGTTAGGAATGGGTCCGAACGCGTCTAGCAGTATTTCGAGCGGCAGTTTTTTGTCTGGCGTGGGCGAAGTTGATTTTTGTGTCGTACCCACTTCTACGATCCGACCGTCACTTCATGCACTACAGAGAACCACGGCGACCAGCTACCACTACCAAATGACCTTGCCTGTAATCGCGAGCATAGACGAAATCACCAATTGAGAATGTTTTCCCTGATGGGTGTACTGGGACAGGTGACGAATTTTACGACGGCAACATTGTATCGAAGATGGTGCGTGGTTTCCTGTCCATAAGGCATTCGACAGGGGAGGATCCATTTGGTATTGCCGGATTTAGAGTGTTCCTATAAAGCCTGAGGAAGTCCTGAGTATTTTTATCAGTGATTCCCTCTCCTCGCATTTTCGAGAGAGACGGTTTAAAAGTGCCCACGAGCCGTTCAACCTGACCGTTTGATTGTGAGTGGTACGGTGGGGTGCGAATGTGGTTAATAGCACTCCGACGGTAGAAATCCTGGAAAAGTACTGTTGTAAATTGTGTTTCGTTTTCTGAAACCAAGGTATCTGGCTGGAAACCCATGCTGGCTGAAAATTTCGTGAAAGGCAGAAATAGTGGACGCTGTCAGAGAAATGATTTCGGACCACTTGGATGTTGCGTCGATTATGATGAGATGCCATTGATTGTGCCAGCAAAATCGACGTGTAGGCGAGACCACGGCTTATCAGTTTGGTGCCCATAGTTATGGGTTGACACTCGGAGGGTTCTTGTTGGCCTTTCGACAACGGGGATACTACTAAACCAACGTCTCTATGTGCTGGTCGATACCCGGCCAATAGACGTAGCTTCGGACGATGGTTTTCATTCCTCTTGAACCAGGATCGCCCGCGTGAAATTGACGTAAGACGACCGGTCGAAGCGAAGACGGGATGACAATGCCATTGGCGAACATTAACCAAGCTTGCTCGACGGATATAAAGATGTCATACCTCTCCACCTGGTGCTCTCGTAGGCCATCAGTTGCGGACACAAGTAATTGCTTCCTGCAGGACAAGATCGGTGCTAGTTTCTCTTTTGATGTCACGTAGAGTGACCGATACCGCACGAACAGCGTCAGCCTGGTGCGAACAAACATCAGATTCCATGGAGACTTCTACGATAATGGTGTCTTCCTGCTCCTATCGATTTGCACTGAGTAACCGGGACAAGGCATGGGCCTAACCGAAATCTTGTGTTTGCTGGTAACATATGTCAAACTCATAGTTCAGTCGAAAAGTTGCCCAACGCTGCAATCTGCTGGCGGAATATGTCGTGATACCCTTCTTAGAGCCGAAATAGCGAATAATGTCTTATCATCGGTCAGCAAGCTGAAGTGGCGACCATAGACCATCTTAGGAAACTTTCTCACGGCAAACACCAGTGCCAAAGTCCCCTTTTCCATTTGAGCATCATTCTTCTCAGCTGGCGTAAGAGCTCGAGAAGCATGCATGATCGCCTTCTCCGATCAATCTGGAAATACATGGGAGATGACGGCATCGACGCCGTAGCTTGAGGCATCTGCAGCGACTACGATCAGCGGCTTGGGATCGAAATATGTTCGGAGGAGGTCGGAACCTACAATTGCTTTTAGGTGGTTGAATGCGCGTTCACATTCTGATCACCCCGGCCAAAAGCTGTGCTTTCTAAACAATTTATTCAATGGTGCTCTGGCATTGTGGAGGGCGGTTAAGAACGTGCCGTAGTGAATCACTAGGCCGAGGAACTACCGTACAGTTGACACATCCTTTGGAGCGGTCATTTCCCGGATTACACGCACATTTTCAGGATCATGACGGCGGCTATTTTTGTCGATGATTAAATCACGGTATTTGATTTCTGAGAGGAAGTTCTGGAATTTGTCTGGTTACAGTCGGAACCTATATTC